TAAACACAACTTCTCACCTCACAGATACCTTATCTGGAACAACAGAGATATTTTATAGAAAAATAAATCACGTTTCCTGGAAACTTGGCTCCAAAATGGGATCCTATTGGTGGCTCAGCTGGTTAGTAAAGAGGGACAACTACTTACATACGACGACTTTCTTGCACTATATAATTTTCCAATCAGTGTTCAGGAATTCTCAATGGTGCTTGGTGCCATACCCTCAGGGACTTTAATGTTATATAAAAACACTGACAGCTCGATCTCTACCTCAGTCACTCTCCCTGATCCAGCTGAGTCACCAATAGGAAAAATCTGCTTTTCACAGGAACTTGGTAACAGCAATAAGAGAATACGTAGTTTATTCCAAGAAGATATCGTCTCTCTCCCATATATAACATCTTATTGGAACCGATATGTTCCAGATATCAAGTGGAAGACAGTCTGGATGGTCCCCCATAAATATTTGATAGTAAATAAGGTGAAAGAAGTCTCTTTTAAAATTCGACATAAATGTTATCCAGCCAGTCACTACATGGTCAAATTTAAAAGGGACATAAATACTAATTGTACTTTCTGTGGGGATCATCCAGAAACTGTGACACATCTTTTTTGGTGCTGTTCTTTTACACAGAGATTCTGGAAGGAATTTAGCAGCTTTGTTATTGTCCATATTTTAAGGGAGTTTTCTTTACGATGGGAAAATGTTTTATTCTGTTTCTTTAAGTTCCCCAAGAAGTATGAGAAATGTTTTTTATGATAAATTTGTTAATACTTTTAGCTAAATTTTTTATCCATAAATGTAAGTTTACTAACAAAACACCATATTTCTGTCATTATTTTAAGGATGTGCACATGCACATACAATCAATATCAGACTGCACCAACAGAAAGGCTCAAAACAATATGTATGTGAATTTTTGCGTGTATTCTTATAATTGTTACCTTTTTCTTTTACCCCTGGCTTTGTGTGTTCATGTTCTGTTGTTTTGTATACTTCATCTGTTCGTATGTTGTGTACTCATTGTTTGTTAAATAAAGTTTAAAAAAAAAGAAAAGAAACGGGAGGCTGGCTTGACACAAGTAAGGTTTCCGCTTTCTCACACAGACCAGGACACCAGCTGCCCCCCTGCAGCCTCCACACTCTTTTACCCCAACGCGCGTCATCAGCTGGAAAGTTTACAAAATAAAGCAGCTGTTTTATGACACGACGAATGTCCCGTAACAGTGTGCACATTTTTAAACACGTGCAGGTACAAACACGAGCGCGAGGAGCTGTCCTACCCGCACACCGCAGCGCTCACCTGGGCACGCGCGCACACCGTCACGTTTTTCTCGTAGATTCCGTCAAAGTGGCTAAAATCAGCAGACGGTTTCCTCTTCAGACCGTCAGTTACTTCTGCAGAGCTTCAGTCTCACCGACCGGAGAACACGCCCCCACACACACCTGAGGATAATGAACGAGCTGCATTAATTATCACAACTCCGAGATACTCACGGGGTCAGGGAACTATACCGGAAGGCGGAGGAATACATCCCTGTCACTCACTGATCACCCACAAACATGTGGCCGTGATGATCCGGGCCAGAGGAGCAGTCGGGACGCTGTGGCACCAGCGAGGCTCGGAGCTTTGACTGGGCTCTAAAATTTGGCCCAAACCTGCATCCAGAGCCGACACATGTTCTCGGGGCCAGATGTTGCCCAGATGTCACAGCTCACCTGTGGCTGAAGCTCAAAGGCTGCTAAAAGAAACATTTGTGCTTCTTATTTCTTCAGCTTGCTGCAGATGCACTCCGCAGGACTCACGCCTCACCTGCTGGGTTTCATATGTCATACCGCCCTCTAGCGGCCGGATGGAGACACGCAGGTGGATGTTTTATGTGTTTTAGAGTTCATGTAAGAGCCAGTGAGAAGCCTCTGTGATGTCATAGGTGTAAACAAAAACAAAAATCTTTGCTACATATGCTGTATTTATTTCATGATCATTACATTACAAACAGTTCCATCAGCAGCAAGTAATAACACTCACTAGAAGAATAGAATAGAATAGAATAGAATAGAATAGAATAGAATAGAATAGAATAGAATAGCCCTTTAATGTCATTGTACATGTACATCAAAATTCTGGGTGCTCCACACTAACTGTGCAGGAGTAAAAAAATATGAGAAGTATAACATCAGGAATAAAGAGCGAACAGAAGAAATATATAGAGTCTAGAGGAACACATACCAGATAATAGAAAGGCACAGCTGCCTGAGCCTCCTGAAGTCTGTGATGAGTTCTTTGGTTTTAAGGACGTTCGGTTTCAGGTTATTTTCTGAACACCAGCAGGACAAGTTCTCCACACTGTCTCATCTCCATCAGAGACGAGCCCAACCGCAGCATACTCACTGATGACATTGGTTGGGTGGGCTGGTGTGCACATAGGTGTCCAGGGCGTAGACTAGGGGGCTGAGAACGCAGCCCTGTGGGGATCCGGTGCTGAGAGGGGGGGTGAGGTGGGGGCTGAATCGTACTGATTTAACCCCTTAGCAGTCCTACAAATTTACAATTAGTCCCCTAAACCATCCAATGTACCGTGGGCGGTACGTCCGACTGCTAACAGGTTAAGCCAGTGGGCGAGGAAGTGTTTGATCCAGGAGCAGGTGACGGGGGATAGTTTGGGATTATGGTCCTGAACACTGAGCTGCAGCCCACACAGAGCATCGTCACAGAGCTCTTCATGTTCTCCACATGGCTCAGCGCTCTGTGAAAGGTGACGGTGATGGCATCCTCCTCCATGGTGGGGGCTGAGGGAGGGGGGTAGACAGTCTCTCACGTGCTGAGCACTATCTGCTCGAAGCACTTCATGACTACAGACGTCTGTAGTCATTGAGGCTGTCTATGCTGGCTTTTTGGGGATGGAAATGATGTGGAGGCCTTCAGCCAGGTGGGAACTATGGCGTGAGTCAGGGAGATGTTGAACAGCCCAGTGAGGATCACGGCCAGCTGGTCTGTGCGGGCTTTAACCAGTCCCTGGGATGCTGTCGAGACCGGCAGTTTGCCTGGGGTTCACCGCTCTCAGTCTCCCCCTGACCTCATGTTCTTGGCTGGTCCAGGAGGCACCAGGACCAGCTGACCAGAGAGGATACGGTTTACCCCACACTCAATGTAAATGGCCTGTATTTGTACAGCGCTTTACACTACATCCAGTCATCCACACACACATTCACACACTGGTGATGAAGCTACATTGTAGCCACAGCTGCCCTGGGGCACAGTGACAGAGGCGAGGCTGCCGGACACTGACCTCTGACCTCTGACCCCCACCAGTAGGCAACGGGTGAAGTGTCTCGCCCAAGGACACAACGGGCTCGAACCTTCTGATTACAAGACGGCTGCCAACTGTTGAGCCACGATTGCTCGTGTGATGATGTTAAAGCTCAGGGATAACAAATGGCTCTTTGGTTCCTCTCCTCAGTAGGAAAGAAGAGTTTGAATGTTCTTATTCCTGATAGGTTTAAACAGAATAGTGTGACAGAAAATGAGCAGAGACTGAGGATTAACTCCCCCCATTGATGTGAGGTTAAAATGTCCTCAGATTTATTCTGCAGTGAAGACTAACCTCAGTTTGATCCAAGCTCTCAGGCTCTGACCGCTCACAGGGTGTCAGGCTGGACTCACATGTCTCAGTCCTCCCCAGACTTCACGTCTGATAGAGTTCAGCATCCCAGTGCTGACTCACTGTCATACTGGCAGACACACATCTTTGCTGTGGTTTCTACACATGATGTCCAAACAGTGTGTGTCCTCTGTGCGTCCACACGGGGACAGGAAGTGGGAAGTCATTCATGTGTGCAACAGTCACTGGAAGTCACTGGAGGGCAGGAGGAAGACTTCTTATTTATATTTCTGATTTTGTTTCAGTCCGTTTGTCGAGGGGTTCCTCTCTGAGCTTAGTTACTATCCGCTTTGTTATTATTTATTATAATGTGAGTGGCCTTCATCAGCCAGACGGATGAGAGGCTCTGAGATGAGTTTCAGCACAAACACACAAAACTTTCACTGATGTCATCCAGGTCTCAGGAAACAAAGCCACTGATGGCTCCTCGTCCTGAAGAACTCATGAATTATCAGCTCTGAATGACAGCTCAAACATCTGAAACCGGTCGAGTTCAGCTGCTTCTTGAATGACCTTAAAGAACTTTTCCAGGCCAGAGGTTCAAGACGTGAAATCACAACCTCTGTAATACCCTCAGAGAGAGAGAGAGAGAGAGCAGCCATAATGTTGTTCGACATGTACGATCACAGTAAACAGCTCTTCTGTTCTAGAGCTCATAACATGAAATCATAACCACCATTTCACTGTTTGTCACACTGAAACCTGACTGCCACACACACACACACACACACACACACACACACACACACACACACACACACACACTTACCCTAACCATCAAAAATGAATCCTAATCTTAACCATAACCCAACTGTAACCCAGGGTTACAGTTATTATTATTATTATTATTATTAACTGTGACCCTGACTCTAAAACCACATTTTGAGCCTCATAAATGTCTCCAAACTCGTGAGGACGGGCACTTTGTCCCCATAAGTGACGTTTGGTCACGCGGGTGTAGTAGCGTGCTAACTTTCTGTCCTCACAAAGATGTCGAAACATGTACACAAATATTTAAACAGCATTAAATCAAACTCACTTTAATAAAACAGCGTCAGTTTGAGGAATTAACGTATCCCCCCCGCACCCAATATAAACCCACTCGTGTTTAGAAACACGTTATTAAAATTACAAAATAAGGCGAGAAATGTAGCGTGATACAAAGAGACAAAAGAGCACAGGAGTGTCTGAATATATGACACAGCAGTAAATACTAAACATTTATATAAAGGAAACATAAAAACACGATTATTACATCAGAAACAAACAAACAAACAAACAAAATACAAGGTAAGGTTTGCGCACGCGCCCTTGCGGCTTAGCGCGCACGAGCCTGGCACGATATGTAAATCAAGTTCACCAAAATAAGAAAAAAAAACACCTTTTACCTTTCAAAATAAACCGCAGGTTTCCTTTTGATCTCACCATAAATCAATAAATTCAAAAATAATATTTTAAGAAGTTGTAAAAGTTATAGGAATAAAAGTTTTTAAACAGCACCTTTCATTAAAGATGGACTGCCGCTGCTGCTAATGTTAAAGAACGTGTATTAGTCTACATTTTATTTTGAAAGGCATCACCGGATGTTGTGAATGCTGACGTGATGGTGGTGTCGGGAGCAGCTATAAGGGGCTCTGTTAGCGGCCGGGAGAAGCGGTGGGAGCTCGGGTGCTGGCGGTCTGTGGTGACACGCACTCGGTTTTGTGTCGTGTAGGCTAACCGAACCGGGACACGCAGGGACGGAAGTCATGGGAGTCGCTCCGGGGCAGCTCTGGAGCAGCCGCAGCGGGGAACACGGCTCATCTGTCGGCGTGAAGCAGGGAATTTAACCGCTGGCGAGGATAAAGGAAAACGTCGGGCCACTGTCTCCATCACCTCCTCCACCTCCGCTGTGTCAGCCGGCAGTGATGGAGCACATACGGACACCGAAGGTAAGATCATATTTAAATAAATAAAATAAAATAAAATAAATAAATGATGACGAAGAGCAGCGGAGGCGGCGCGCGCGACCAGCAGAACGTGAGAGGCTAACACTGCGTGTCCGATAATGGAAACAGCCCCGACGTTAGCCGTAAACACCTGCCGCGTGTGGCTGTAAGGGTGCTCCCACGCAGCCCGTTAATTTAATCTTAATTATTATTCTTAATAATCAGCACGAGCACATCTGCACATGCATGAGTCAGCACTGCGCTGCTGACCTCCATCTTCCTCCTCATATGACTCCTTTCTCCTTTAAAACGCATCATCATCATCATCTGTTTATGGAGGGTTGGGGAGAGTTAGCGGTCCTCACACAGTCTGCCTGACACTACGGAAATATTTATATAATACTTATTAATAAAAGCTAGCTGCGAAGGGCTTTTCTCTGCGTACACAAGCAGATTTACCTGCTCTGCACCGGATGTCACAGTTTTAGACCCACTGTGGAGATCACGCGGCTTAAACGGGCCTTCAGGCTGTAGTTCAAGGAGACAGTCTGTGCATTTTCCCAGTTTTTGGCCTTTTTGTGAATAATAATGCATTTAAAGCTTGAGCACATGCTCACCTCTCAGGTGATCTGGAGGAAAATCTCTGGATTGCACAGAGCGTCATGCAGACACAGAGGATGCTTTGATCAGTGGACGTGGTTGACGTGTGCGTCTCTGACTTTGTTCAGGTGGAAAACGTCCGTCTGCTGGACCGGTCGTCAGGCCAGAGAAAGGCCAGCGTCGGGACTCTGTACCTCTCTGCCACGCACGCCATCTTTGTGGAGAACAACCCGGAGACGCGCAAGGAGACATGGGTAACCTGCAACAGCTTGAATAATAATCGTACCCGCCTTCAGCCACGACCACATTGTTACCTGTGGAGCTCTCAGATTAGTATGAGGCACTGTTGGTGCTATTTCCCAGCACATTGTGCGCTGTCGGTCCTGCTTGCTACACAACAACATTCAATATTTAGCATTTACTGCTGTTTACACTTAGCTAGATTAACGTGATGCTGTTGTGTTTAGTATGTTGCTCTGTTGTTTTGCTTGTTTTCTCTTTTTCTCAACAGCTGATCCAGGAGTTTTATTTCCCTTCTTTCTCTTTTTAAGTTTCCTCTCTCACTGTCCCTCTTCCCTCCTGTTTTTCTTTCCCTTCCTCTTTCTTTCTCCCTTTCCTGTCCCTCAGTCATGTCTGTCCCGTCTGTAACAACTGAAAATAAAATAAATAATAACAACAAAGGTCGATCAAATGGACCAATACGGCAAATCCATCGGGTCTCCTTGTTGGTCTTCAGACAACAGATCTGACGGCTAAAGAACCAAACGGGACAGGAAAAAAAAAGATTAGTATGAGGCGAAGCTGGGACGCAGCGAGAGCTGCAGGAGGCCGCGTCACAGATGGAAGACGCCATATTTGGATAAAAGAACGTTAGCTGGCCGGGTTAAAAAATCATACCAGCGAACACTCAGCTGCTGTCAGTGCTCAGTAACGTCCCAGTGAAACCCTGATTTCACTCAGACTTCTTGGCTGCTTGTTCAGATGATTGCATTAAAAAGGCTCCAACAGCACAAAGACCACACAGGTTTGTGCAGCAGCCTGTAAACATGATTAGTTCTGCTGTAAAAGTGGAGATGTTAACCCTGCAGGCAGGTTTCAGAGGCTGAAGCATCAGCCAGTATGCCAGAAATGTGGAGTCTGAGAATAAATTTGGACGCCATCTGTAGAGCCTGGATTTATCCAGCTGCGTGTGTCGGGCTGCAGAGATGCACACGACAGAAATGTGATCCACAGAGTAACATTTATCTGACAGTGAAAGCTGCTGGAGAGCTTCATATTAATCACAAAGCCCTGAAAGAAGGGGGTTAAATATGGATCCTCAGAGTGGAAGCGAGAATTAAAGGTTTTTATGCTCAGATTAAAGGAGCAGCTTTCAGACGCTGTGCACAGAGTTCTCATTCAGATTCATATTTCGGTTTTAAAAGCAGGAATTTGTCATGCAGGCAGATATTTCCTGCCAGTTTGGTGAATCCCGTCTGAGCAGAAGCAGTGAAAGAAAAATAATAATCTGTGTTTATGCAGCTCCTCGTCTCCTCTGCTGTTAGCTGCACATTCATCGTGATGAGGAGCGGCGCAGCTTCATCTGGGATCACTGATATCAGTGGTGTGCGGTGTTTTCACAGAATTCCAGGCTGGGTGGTTTTCCAGACACGGGAAGAAAAGATGCCACCCTCCCCCCTCTTAGGAGTCCGCCTCGTCCCCGTGGACCTGAGTGGATGATGAAGAGATGCAGGCGTGTCACATTTCACTCAGCAGGCTCAGACTGCTGGCTGGATTAGCAGAAACAAAGGACAGAGTCAGAGCGAGGTGTAGATTGGCTCTCCTTCACAGCACAGCACCTAATTTTGTTCTTCATTAAAACTATGCTGCGTCTGATTGGCTCTGACCCAAACCAGTTCACGTCATGGTTCAGCGTTGGTCTCAACCTCCACACGTGTCTTTTATCTCATGTTGGTTGAATTCCCATAATTCTTCCCTCCAAATAGTCCAAAAAAAACCCAAAGAAACTATGAATACAAACACAAACGGCCGACAGTGAACGCAGCTTCTCCTCCAACCACCACAGAGGCGCACCGGCCTATCAGAGGCAGAGCTGGAGCAACGTTTCATGAGGTTTGTGACCCCAGCAGCCCAAAATGATCAGTCCTATCCCAGCGCTGTGAGGTATAAACAAGGAATGAGGAGAAGAACACAGCACAGCTGTACTTCCTGTGGGCCGGGCACTTCCTGTTAGGAAATCTGAGAGGCTACGCTAACAAGGCCACGGCGGGCTGCTCATCTCCATGATGGGTGTGCTTTACAGTAATGTGCTGTGCTTGGTGATGCAGGTCTACAGGAAGTAACTGTGTGTGTTACAGGTATTGCACAGCATGGTGAGCAGCGTGGAGAGGCCGCCCACCACCTCAGGAGGTCAGCTGATCCTTCGCTGTAAGGACTTCCAGATCTTCCAGATATTCATTCCACAGGAGAGAGACTGCTTGGACGTCCACGCCTCATTGGCCAGACTGTCACGGCCAGGTGTGTGTGCGCGTGTGTGTGTGTGTGTGTGTGTGTGTGTGTGTGCGTGCGTGCGTGCGTGTGCGCACATGTAACACACGATTTTTAATTCCTCGTCTCCTCCCAGAGAAGTACAGCGAGCTGTACTGTCTGTCCTTTAACCCCAACGTGAACAAAGAGGAGAGGGAGGAGTCGTGGAACTTCATCGACCTCGCGGCCGACTACAAGAGGATGGGCGTCCCTAACAACCTGTGGGTTGCCACGGCAGCAAACAGTGAATACAGGGTCAGTCATGATCATGTGACACAATGTTAACTGTTTGAGAGATAACGAGTACATTTCTGCACTTTGACGTGAAGCTGCTGCTTATACGCCGACGGCTCTGAGAGCTCGGCGCCTCCAGAGGCCGTCCCCCTCAGTCTGACTGCAAACACTCACCATATTCAGACTCGGTTCATCACGTTTAAGCGTTGCTGTCTGCGCGCTCAGACTGATGAAGGTGTTTTCCTCGTTTCATGTGTTTGCAGAGCTTCGTCTCTGCTGCGATCTAAACCTGTGAATGTTTCTCTTTAAGTCAGTCAGTAGTTTTTATAAGGTTTGGTAGATTAGCTCAAACAAGCCTCACTCACAGCTTATCATCAGCTACGTCACAGCACCACCCTCCAGCTCAGGGTCCAGTCAGGCTCCCAGGTCACCTGTGGTGTTGACGGTCTGAATATTTCATCAGGAAGGAGCGGTGAATATTCTCAGAGGGACGGTTTTAGCAAAGCAGCTGTTTGTCTCAGTCTGCGGCGTTTGTGCTGGAACCAGCTGAGCAGCTTGGCCAAGTCATCGTAACAGGATGTTTAAAATGCACCATATGAGCTTAAACTGTGTGTGTGTGTGTGTGTGTGTGTGTGTGTGTGTCCTGCAGGTGTGTGATACATACCCTTCAGAGCTGTTTGTTCCAAAGTCGGCCACGCCCGCCATCATCGTGGGCAGCTCGAGGTTCAGAAGTCGAGGACGATTTCCTGCTTTGTCGTACTTCCACCAGGACACACTGGTCAGACACACACACACACACACGTTTGTATTTATATCCTTGTGGGGACATCTCATTGACATTATGCTTTAGCCGCTGACCTTAAACCTCACCATGAACAAACTGTCACCCTGACACCAAAACCACGTTCTGAGTCTCAAAAATGCTTCAA